TGAATTTGCAGTAGATTTTGAGCATTTTTTATGTGTAATGACAACACATTACAAATTAAATACAACACAAACCAAATCTAAAACCACAAAGCATCACAACTTTAACAAAGAGAAAGACGCAAGAGATTAGTAAAATAACAAATAAAATTTAACAAGAAAAGAAATGTAACATTGAAATTTCTTGAAATCTAAAATTGGTTGGTATTCTATCGGTTTAATTCTTAATTCGAAAAAAAGACATTTTCAAATCAATTTGGTTCTGATTTATCTAGAATCCGAACCGGATCAATCCATGGTTAACTCAAAAATCAATAAGATCAATCGGATCAATTCTCAATCGAACCTTACCCAAAATAGATGGAACTGAACCGACAGGAACCGACACAAATATCTGATAGGTCCAAAAAATTTATACTAAAAAACCAAACTCGAACTGGAACCAAACCGAGAACGAAATGAATACTCGAAATATTCAAAATATAATTATATACCTAAAATATTAGTTATATTTAGATTTTAAAAAATCAAAAATAACTAAAATTACAACTGTAAATCTAATATATATAACAACTATATTTAGAATAAAATAACCAAAATATTTAAGAAATTCAAAACATTTTAGTAGAATACAAAGTAAAAACAAAAAAATTAGTTTATTTTGCAGATTTTCGGGTATGATTGGGTATTCGGTTAAAAAAAACCGATAAAAACCCACCATTTTATACTAAAAAACTTACTGATCATTTTATCACTTTATTTTAAAATTCAAATTTAAAATTAATGAATAGAAAATTTGATTCGGATCGGAGCCAGATATCCGATTTCTTCACGGATTCTGAAACAATCAACACTTTCTTTTTTGAAATCCTAACAAGTCTAGTGAAGCTTTTAAAAATAAATTAAATAAATAAATCAGATAACAATATCATTCTATGGAAGCAAAAAGCAATAATTAAATCTAGCAATCTAAACACCAATTTACCAATTCAAATACATACAAAACAAATCAATTCTATCAATTCCTCTTCAGCTTTGATTCCGCGATCACAAACATTTTACCGGCATTACATTGCGAAAGAGATGTATTTAAGACAATCATCCTGCCTACGGATCAATTACGCAATTAAATAATTATTATAATAATTCTCATTATTTAATAATAATTTTCTATAATTAAAATAATTAATTTAAACCATTCAATTAATTAAATAACCAATAATTAATTATATACTAGATTAAACCAATCTAATTCGAGTAAATCATTTCTAATTCAATTAAACCACTCAATTTCAATTAAACCAATTAAATCGGTTTAAACCGGAAATAACCGGTTTGTGTTGACCGACTCACAATTTGTATCACTTTACACAAAATCTTATGGTGTCGACCGACACAAACTTGTGTTGCTCAACACCATCTCCGGAAATACACAAATCGGGCTGTTAACAGTATCCAAAACACAGTAAACAAGCAATCCATCATAAACAACGAATCAAACATCAATACCAACACGAAATCACCACAGAAACGATCACACAACCAAGCTCTAGTAATCACGGACCCACAATCATGCACTCACCTCGATTTCGGATTGAAAAAGGGAAGAAATTGAAAGAGATGATCAACAGTAACGACGAACGGCAAAGAACAACAATGAAAAACCACGCAGCAGCCACCACACACACCTAAATCTCCTCTCCCTTCAACTCTTGTGCACAAAACGACAAAAAGAGGAGGAAGAACGGCGGCTGTGTGTTTTTAACCCTGAGAATCAAGGTTTCCAACCCAAACCAAGCTAAACCGGAAACTGATTTCACTCAAATTAAACCGGAATTGCGAATCAAAGCTTGTGTCAAAACTTCACATTTTTTGTTTACGGATGTTACAACTCTCCCCCTACTAAACTGGATTTTTCCTCGAATCCAAACTCCGAACGTCACAAAGACCACTAAACTCGACCTCGCAAGGCCGCAACACTGGAGATCCAGACCTGATCCCCCGAGACGCACGTCAAATCCTATGTCATAAGCACGTTCCAAGACATTTTCACACTTAACTCATCATCCAAAACCACACAAAACCACTTGTACTAAGGCCCACTTGCACTCAGACATGTCCACATCGGTCCGTACCGAGGCCTATTTGCACCCAGACGAACCCGAAATCGTTTATAATGAGGCCTACTTGCACCCAGATAAGTTACACTCAACTGAGGTCTACTTGCACCTAGAAAGTCTGCCAGAGAACTAAAGTCTCCAAAAAACATGATGAGTTATTCAGAATCGCATCCTTATAGTAAAAATTCTGGAAAACGTCTATAACAATAAGATTAGACCGTCTCACAACCAAAATTGGTCAAACAAATGTAACATCCGAACACCATTTTCACAACACAAGACAAAATGAGAAAAAACTGCATCTCATTAAAACTCCAAAATGTATATCGTAAAACCCCAAACGAAAATATAAGTAGAAAGCTCAAAAGCTAAAACAACTGGGAACTACAAAAATGAAAGAAGCTCACTCTTCGACCTGCTCGTCGAACCACTTCTTGAACTTCAAATTCATATTTGCCTCTGGCTCCCAAGTCTTCTCTGTAGAACCACTGTAATCCCACAAAATCATCAGTAAGGGAATCCTCTTGTTCCTCAGAACTTTTTCCCTCCTCTCTAAAATCCTCACAGGCACTGTCGGGACTGTCAAATCTGGTTGAAGATCCTCTCAAATACTAGCCACTAACTCCTATGTAGGGTGAAGACACTTCCTCAGCATCGACAGATGAAAAACCTTGTGAAAGGCTCTCATAATCTCAGGCAACTCCAGCTTGTAAGCTAATGGTCCAACTCGCTCCACAACTGAAAACGGACCCATAAAACACAGACTCAGCTTGTTCTCTGCTATTTATTTGTAAGGACCTCTCAACATAGTCATCTTGAGATACACTCTATCCTCAACCTGAAACTCAAACTCTCATCTGCGTCTATCTGCGTAACTCTTCTGCCTGTGCTCAACCTCCTTCATGTTCATTCTCACAACATGGACCTTCTCCGTCGTCTCCTGAATATAAGTAGCTTCATACATGATGCGCTCCCCCATTGGGGTCAAGCATAGGGGTGTCCTACATGGCCTCCCACACAAAGTTTCAAATGGAGACATGCCAATACTCGCCTGAAAGTTGTTGTTGTATGCAAACTCAACTAAGCGCAGGTGATCTGCCCAATGGCCACTCTAATCGAACACACACATCCTCAACAAATCTTCCAAGGTCTGAATAGTCCTCTCTGACTGACCATCTGTCTACATATGATAAGCTGTACTCAAATGCACCTTAGTGTCTATCTCTGTCTGAAACGCTCTCCAAAACTCTGAAGTGAATCTGGAATTACGGTCTGACACAATATTAGCTGGCACTCCATGCAGTTTCATAATCTCCCTCACAAATTTCCTAGCCAAAACAGCAAATAGCATCAAAAGTCCTCGAAGCAGGTAGTCCAACCACGAAATCCATCGTGATCTTGTCCCACTTCCACTCTAAAATGGGTAAACTCTACAAAAGATCACCCGAAACCTGATGCTCTGCCTTCACTAAGGCACAAGTGTTGCACTTCGCAACCCAGTCTGCTACATCTCTCTTCATCCCAACCCAGTGATAGTACCTCTTGAGGTTATGGTACATCTTGGTCGCCCCTAGATGAATAGAAAACTTGCTCGCATGAGCCTTTCCCAATATCTGATGTCTCAATTTCACATCCTTAGGCACAAGTACTCGTCAACGAATAAAGATCGTCCCATTTGCAGAGACCTCATACTCAGAATTAGGTGCTCGTGGTGCGTAAGCCAAACTCTGATCACCCCGCTGAGCCACTTTGATCCTGCTAAGTAGATCCGCCGAACCCACTGCCTCGAAACCCAAAGGCTCCTGCAAAATAGCACATAGACGCAAGGTACTGATCTCGCCCACTAAAGACTCCACATCTCGCTCAACTGCGGAATCATACCTTTATCTACTCAACGCATCAGCCACTAGGTTAGCCTTGCCTGGATCATAGTTAATGTTCACCTGATAGGCCGCAAAGAACTCAACCCATCACGTCAGTCTTGCGTTCATCATCGGCTGAGTGATGATATGTTGAAGACTCTTGGGATCTGTGAAGACCTGCACAGTCTCACCTAACAATTAAGACCACCAAATCTTCAGTGCAAAGATCACTGCTCCCAACTCAAGGTCATGTGTAGGAAGGTTAGGGTCACTGCTATGCCACTGTCTCAAAGCATATGCAATCACTATACTCTCCTGCATCAGCACACAACCAAGGCCAATGCATAAAACATCAATATAATCCTTATAAGGCTTTTCTGGCTCAGGTAACGCCAACACCGGTGTAATAGTCAACATCTCCTTGAACTGACTAAATCTCTCCTCACACACAGCTGATCAAACAAATGAGACATCCTTCCCAGTCAACTTCGTCATAAAGTATGCCATGGTAGCAAACCCCATGATGAACCTCATGTACTATCCTGTCAAACCTAGAAAACTTTTGATCTCTGTCGCACTACTAGGTCTAGGCCAATATCTTATAGCCTCGATCATAGCCGGGTCCACAGACATTCCCTCTGCAGAAACAATGTGGCCAAGAAATCCTATCTCTCGCTGCCATAAACTGCACTTGCTAAAATTAGTAAAAAGCTTATGTTCCCGAAACTTCTCCAGAACCAACCTCAAGTGAGTCGCATGCTCCTCCTGACTCCTCAAGTATACCAAGATGTCATCAATAAAAATAATGACAAACACATCCAAATGCTCCCTAAACACGTCCAAATATTCCCTAAACACGTCGTTCATAAATCTCATGAAGGGAGACGGCACGTTAGTTAAACCGAAAGGCATCACTACACACTCAAAGTACCCATAACGCGTCCTGAAAGCAGTCTTCCGAACATCCGCCTCATTTGTTAGGATCTGATGATAGCCTGACGCCAAGTCAATCTTGGAGAACCAAGTAGCACCCCTCAACTGTTTTAATAACTCATCAATCATCGGGAGTGGGTACATGTTCTTCACAGTGACTCGGTTAAGACCTCTCTAATCGATACGAAGTCTGAAACTCCCATCCTTCTTCTTAACAAACAATATCGGTGTTCCCACGGTGAAACACTCGGTCGAATGAACCATTTAGACTAAAGGTCCTCAATCTGCTTTTTCAGCTCTGCCAACTCTGTTGGCGCCTTCCAATAAGGCATTTTAGATATCAGCGCTGTCCCCGACTCTATACCAATCGGAAAACGATCAGACCGAGATGGTGGTAATCCCTTCAATGACTAAAAGACATTCTCAAAATCCTGGACAACCTTAACAACCTCCATAGCAACTCCAGCTCCTAACTCAGACATAGAAATCGTCGCCATATACGCCTCACAACCCCGCTCCAACAACTGCTCGGCCTGAATGGCAGATATCACAATACTTCCGGAATTCGGCCTCATTCCCTGATAAACCAACCTCCCTACTTCTCGCTCGAAGACCGCTCTACCTCTGTAGCTGTCTAGATGAACTCTGTAGTGCGACAACCAGTCCATCACAAGAATAACATCATACAGCTCCACTGTACTGATGACCAAATCTGCTGGCATTGACAGCCCCGCAATCTCGATATCGACTCCTCTAGCATGGCCCAAAGTAGACAAGAATCCACCTCCTGCCACCTTGACCATGCCCGCGCTCTCGCCAGCGCTATTCCGGATGCCACTCTTCTCGGCATGCTCCGGTGTGATGAAGCAATTCGATGGTCCAAAGTCGAATAAAACGTGAGACTCAAAATCGCCCACTACCAAGGTCCAAACCCATTCAAATGCGTTGAGAACCTCCAATATTCTATCACAAATAAAATGAACAACAGGCCACACTACTCTTTACCCCTCAATGGCCTGCCATCACAAATGCGCGTCGCCATTCAGATAGTGGACTGCTAACTCCACTCGGTACTCCAAAGGACATCTAATATACTGAAAGTTCCGCTCCAACCTCTGACACCACGCGTCTGCCACTTTCGCCCTCAAAAAACGACGTACCAATCCTCTGCATGTGCTCCATAATCTTCAGATAAGGCGACACACCAAAACCCGCAGCCCTCGGCTGAACGCCCTCTGCAGCACCATGTTGAAGATGCGCCTCTGCCACTAGAGGTACTCCCGGTGCCCCATTGTGGAACCTCTGCCAGAAAACGAGCGACTAGTTGCGTCAGCAAACCTACCACCAAGTCATCACGACCCTGAGCCGGAGCACCACCCCCACCTGGAGCGGTCCCCGCTCTCAAACCAACACTAGCATCCTCACTTGCCTCACCCGCCATGGATATTGACTGGGTCACCGACTCAGTCGCCACACTCCGCGCCACACTTTCTCCCGAATCCGCAAGAAGTCCACTACCTCAGCCCCGGCCTCCACGGCCTCTAGCTCTGCCAACCACGGCTTCAAGCATCGCGCCCTCTCGCACCACAACCTCTAGCTACTCTGTCCATCTCACTGCATGGACCCAAACATGATCAACTAGACAATAAACACAAAAACACAAACACCAAAAACTCCCCGTAGAATCTCCTGTAGCTGAAACGGATGATACTAAAGCCTAATAATTCTAACAGTCTTAAAACCGTCTAGGCTCTGATATCTAAATGAAACAACCATCACTTTTTTTTTTAAATCCTAATAAGTCTAGCGAAGGTCTTTAAAATAAATTAAATAAATCCATCAAATAACAATATCATTCAGCGGAAACAAAAAATAATAATTAAATCTAGCAACCTAAACACCATGTGCTACCAATTCAAATACATGCAAAACAAATCAATCCTATCATCTCCTCTTTAGCTTTGATTCCGCGATCACAAAAACCTTTTACGTGCATCACATTGGGGTTTTGATGAATTTGTTTTGATGAATTTATGATTGAGTAACCTTGACTCTTTTCTATAAGGGTTCAAGTAACATATTACATGCAGTTATAAACAATTTAGTTTACATAACATATTTCATGTACAAATAGGATTTTATTGATTACATTATTTTAATTTTATTATTTGTTTGGATAATATTAATTTGATGAATGAGAAACCTTTCTCTATTAGGATATGACAAATATATTTTTATTTCTTTTAACTGTAATAGAATATTTTTCTAAAAAAAATCCTTTATCTAAATTTTTTGTTATTATTTTTTTTTCTCTAAGACATGTGTCACGATCTTAACAGACGTAATATTAAAAGTGACACATGTTGCGATCTTATAAATTATAAAAACCATATGTGTCGCAATCACGTCGTGCGCATCCAACTTTATATAATAAAAGATATTTGATGAATAGGAAACCTTTTTCTGTTTGGAGTTGGCAAATATTTTTTTTTCCTTTTCTATATAACAGACTAAATTAAATTTCGTTTTTTTATTAATTAACATTTTTCTGGAATTTTTTTTTAAGTTCTTCTTTTACCTAAGACATGTGTCACGATCTTAACGGACATAAACTTAA